AATATGACTGCTGAAGATGAATTAGATATATGCATAATATAAGCAATTAACTAATTATTAAAATTAATAATAATGCATATTCTATAGTATATTGTCTTTTGTACAGTATGCAGAAAAGGTTAATGATTTTAAACAGTGTATGAAATGTATGATCGAAAAACTAGTGTTAAGGAAACATTAGCATTTCTATGAAATATTGTAATCTATAATTATGTGATATTTAATTGTGTAATATTAAAAAACACTAAATATTTTTTATTGATTGCAAATTGCAGTTTTATTACTTTTCGTTTGGTATCTATTCTTCCAAACACTGTGTAATTCGCATTTTTTTTCAAATATTGTCGTTTATGTATGTTTATTAGATTATCTCAATAAATGAATGTTGGAAATCAGGTTTTATTTTTTATTAAATTAAATATGTTCTATTTTATTCGCTTACTTTTTATCTGCTTGTGACAACAAAGAAATTCATAATAAATAGAAACAAAAAGTTTCATCGTGTGCTCTTTAACGAAGAGCTTACTTTAACGTACTTAGCTTATTATCGTATACAAGATTATTTAAATTATTTCTGCACAGTAACAAAAGGAAAGTTATTGATTATAAAAAGTGCATGAAATACTAATCATTGTAATCTACCACTATTCTAAAATGTAAAAAACTGAAAATAAGTAAATACATATGATAGAAAGAAATGGTGTTAATAAACATCAACATTACTAGTAAAGTAAAAAAATGATGAAATCTTAAATGATCGTAACTTAGAATTTAAGTTATTTAAAAAATATAGTTTAAAGTACTGAAAATAATTAAGGCTACTATTAATTATGCATATTTAGTCTAAAGAGAAATTTAAAAACTATAGTTTAAAGTACTGAAATAATTAAGGCTATTATGAATTATGCATACTTAGTCTAAAGAGAAATTTAAAAACTATAGTTTAAAGTAGTGAAAGTAATTAAGGCTATTAGTAATTATGCATATTTAGTCTAAAGAGAAAAAATTGTATTATCTTCTGGTTTTCAAAAAATGATAAAATATTTAAACTTTATATAAATACAAGGAATACAAAATTAAAAAAAGAAGAAAAATATATTACTTATTAAGCTTATTTTTCTGCATAAATCAATATGTAACACAAGGACATAATAACGACATTTTCACAACTGTTGCAAAAAAGTGGAATTTTGCGAACATTTAGGCGTCTTTAAGGCGTCGTGATACAATGCTTTCACATTCAAAATATCATTTGCGAAAGACGCAATAACGACGTCTATGCTACAAAAACCTCATCTGCAAAGACGTAATAAAGACGTCTTTGCAACAGTTGCAAAACAGTGGATTATCGCGGACATCTGGACGTCTTAAAGACGACATATTGCGACGAACGTCGTTGCTGTGCTACTTGGGATATCAAAAATAAGGATGGGAGGCTCAAATCTTAAATATCTTACACTGTTACACGCATTTAGTTCAGGTGTAAAGGGAATTTATGACCACACTGTACGCCGTTGAATGCTCCAGACATGGCAGCCAACACCACCATATCTTTCGCCTCTTATGTATCTTAAATTCAAACGCAGTTGCTCTAAGTTTTCAAAACTGTGTTTTCGAGTTCTTCTGCACTAAGTTAATAGCACAAACTGTAAAAAGGTTTCATCTAGTAAGGATTTGTTGTCCTCACTTTCGACAAATCTCACAAGTAAAGAGACTTCCTCTATGAAAGAAATATCTGTGGTTTCATTCGCTAAGATAAAAACATATTTACTAGAATTTATTTTTTCAATCAATTTTTAAAAATTATTTCGTTTCGCATTTCAGGGGATATATACCATGCATTTATTAGCAGATGATTTTAAATGCTCTTTCAGAATGTCACCTATTGCATCAAAACGGAATTAAAGTTGTTGAAGGAAATTCCCACTGTAATCGCTATGTTCCTTGTTTCCATCTGTTAATTTGGTCCTAAACACGATGACCTCTTGAAAGAAGTAAACTCTCTGCTACAGAAAATTACTACTTTTACAATAGGACTGAAATTTTTACGCTAGGTAGTATCAATAATATCTATTACGCCTTGTTTACGCCCTTTCACAATGCTCCTTAAATTGTCAGGAGTTAACGAAGAATGTGCTTGATATTATTTTCTTCATACTCACGGAATATTTATTTTCTTCACGGAGTTTTTGTACGGAGTTTCACGTATTAAGATTTGCGCCAGAAACGTAAAGGCTGATTAACTGTTGACTGATTTGCCTGCATGCTCCTTGGCAAAAACTACAAAATATTTATCGTAAATTCCATCTGCAATTTGGTGGTAAGTGATTCGATGGATATTCTAACAGTATATTATATCGAAATTTCTTCTTCACTTTTTGATTACCAAATGAAGAGCTTGGGGAAAGGTATTTGGTTGTTAATATCCAAAAATACTAATTACCTTAGTATACTAATTATCGCAATGTGGTTTAGAGCATTCGATTAAGAAATGAAGTAGCTTCCTAATTGTTTTTAGTTTTTATACCTTAATATTATCGAACTGTTAAGGCTGAACAGATTAAAGCCGAGTTTTGCCAACTTTGGCAGAAGATTGCAATAAAATACAATAATACAGTAAACCCTTGTTGAACGAAGATTTGTGGAACGCGATTTCACACATAAGTATTAAATGTTCCCGTTTAATCTGTCCAACGCTAGAATTTTATTCATAGGCAGTTTAGTCAATATTGAAAGATTACTGGTATCAATTTTGGGCAGAAGCCTGTCAACAATTTCAAAAGGATTTCCATCTATTGAAAATAAAGGAAAAGAAATCGTATAACATTGCTACGCAAATGGCGGCTTTAATATATGAGCTTGCAACATCAGACGATAGTGTTTATGAGAGGCATTAAAAAACTCTGCGCTCTTTGAAAAACTTGCTTCCCAAGCAAAAGCCACCACCTTTTTAAAAAAAAAAAAATAATTGCATTTATTCAGCAGTGACAAAAATCCTTTCAATTAGCATTTGTTTCGTATTTTTTCCTTTTAATTGCAAGAATATTTAGATTTGTTTTTAAATTATATGTACTTCCTTGGTCTGAAAAATACATAACACGTTCTGTTCATAGAAAGTTAACATTTCAGAACGCGATTTTGCCGTAAGCGTAATTTATTAATGAGTATATATGAATAAGTTGATCAGTTTCTGGCGTTATTTTCATATAGATTTTTTGTTTAAAAAAAAAAAAGACAAATTTTCTTCCAGATAAGTTTTTTGGGAGAAAATTTCAGTCTAAGATTCTGCAAAGAAAATAACGCAATGCGTCACTTAATTGTTCGCGTAGGTAGGGTATTACTGTACACTTTTATGTGATGTTCATAATCTTCCTTTTAGGTATTAAGAGTCGAACTGTTCGCCGTTTTGCACCTTTAATATTTCAATTGTGTTGGTGCACCTTAATAATTAAATTAATAATTTACCTAAGTTTTATAATGCAAATATGTTTTATGCATCGTCTGTATTTTAAACAAATTGAAAGGCAATTAAATAACTAAATTTTATTTCTGAATTTACATTATATATGCTAAGCTATTAATTATGACGTTCTTCTGTATTCAATAAGTGTTCCAGTCTCTCACAGAAATTACAAATTACATAATCTGAAAAATCAGGTGCGTAGGGTCGTACCGAGAGGCGGCAGACACCTGGATCAGAGAGGAACCAAAACTTCAAGTTTTTAGGTATATGTAACTATATGTGGGAATATAAAAATGGGCGCAGCTAAAAAATTGTCTGCATTGAAAATGATAACGTTTACTGGGGAAAATGGACTTTCAAGAATCAGTCTCTAACTTAGTCCATTTAGCATTTAAGCCTTTTTAACAGTATGTATTTCAGTTGCTTCTTGCTTTTCAAAACTTTTCAGTTTTGAAAAACTGAAGGCGATTGAAAGCTAACGGATTTGCAGTCTTTTCCATTGAAAATGCCGTATTCCAAAATATTAATTTTGATGAATCTATAAAAAACTTTCAGAAGTCAAAGCGGGAAAAAAAGTTTTAGAATATTTTTATTAACAGAAAAAGTTAAAATCATTTTTTAAATCATCAAAAATGACAGATTAATAAGCTTTTTACATATATGTTCGTCTGCTGGATGTAAGTGGTTTTTTTCTTTAGTTTAAAGATTTCTTGTTTTTCAAATCGTTTTAACTATTTTATTTTAATTAAATAAATGTTAATTATATATATATATATATATGATGGTGTGTGTGTGTGTTGACATTTTATATGATAATCATTACAATAAGGGGGATCTCAGGGAGATTCCTTCCCGGACCTCGAACCTCTATAGGTGCATGTAATACAGTTTCTAGATCGATATAAAGCTACGTATGATTTTAGCACAACTATGTTTTAAAAACTTTATTTTGGAATGTTTATTTTATATTCTTAACCAGTTAAGTTCTATTCTATCTGTTTGATTTTTAAAATACTCCGCTTTTGCTCCAAAGATAAGCGATGGAGAAATTCTAGTTATCCCGTTGAGGGAATAAATGATGGTATTCTCTTCGTTTAACGAGCACTTCAATGTTCACAGTAAACAGTAACGCTTTGATAAAGCTGGACTGACTTCCAGAGAAGCTACAGTCAGCAAAATCCTTCATGTTTCTTCACTCTAGTTTGTAAGTTTAATTTCTTTTTTCGAAATTATTATAGTGATTAGAATTTCCAACATTATGAAAAAAGCAAAAGCGCTGTCATATGAAATATTTTTTGGGTCTGCTTCAGGAAATGAGACTAAAACCTTTCCAAAGAAAACTTTTAATTCGAATTCCACTAAAACTTTAAATTAAATGAAATAGCAAATTGAAAAATTTTATGAATAGAAGATATCGTTTATTCCCTAAAATTCCAAATATCTTTCTACAGTTATAGATAGGAGAGGTGCAGAGATTCGGAAATAAGTCTGTTATGCTAATTATTTTATTAATCTTGACACTTAAGTATAAAATGTGGTTTAAATATTTTTTCACGATAATATTTTATAATTTAAAAGTAAATTAAGTGAATTATTTACCATTCTTCTTCCAAACTTATCCGACCACATTCCGCAAATGATGCAGCCAAACACCGTACATGCACTAGAAACCTGACAAAAGAAAATATAGCACTGTGCCTTTTCATTAGAATTTATAAACATTCATTATAAAACAGAAGGTATGTATACAACACAAAAATATCAATAATAATTCTTGTTTTCATATGTACTAAAATACTCGCAAGCCGTTTAACAAATATTAAAGTCTTAATAAATTCCAATTCAAATTACAGATTACGTCTCTTATTTTATCTTCTGTGTGCAGCTGTGAAAGTGAATTCTGGTCCGATACGCTAATATTTGCTCAAACTTCCGCAACGAATTACACTAAATAAGTTTGTAAAATTACTTATCATACAAGCATATTAAACAAGAACAATGACATAGTTTTGTACTTTGAAGCCAAAGATGTGTGCTTCAGGTACTTAAAAGTAGAGCACTTAATGAAATTCATAAGCACTTGATGAAGTTCCATCATGGCCAACCTGTTATCTTTTATTATATGAATTAATTATAGAATGTGTTTAAAAATGTCACTGATACAAAATATGGTTTGAAATTAGATCGCCGTGTATTGCTATTATTGCCTTCACCGTGAGAGCTCTCGTGATGCAAACGATTCGCAACGAATCGGGAGCTCTATACATCGAAATATGGTGGGATGCAGTTGAATTTTTCTGTTTCATGCTTCCAAAATCATAATAAACCTTTTAATCGTTGCATAGACTATCCGATGAGGGTGAGGTTGTAAGGAGTTTTAAGTTTTATTAACTTTTATTTTATTTTAAAACTTTGCTATCCTCTCTTCTTCTCCATTTCCGGCCAGACGCGAATACTTTTGTTTACATAAATGAGATTGCAAACTCTATAAATATTTAAGGTGTGACTTTTAGCCAAGAAAAAAGAGAGACTTTTCGTTACCTTACTACGCGCGTGCTTTTCAGGAAGTTCATGTCTGTCGTTAAGGCCAGAACTTAGTTCTCGCTGATATTTGAAGGCATATTTGTAGTCTTTTGCATTTCGCTCACTACATACGTAGTGTTAAAAGGCCAATTTTCGCATTACTGGTCTCTGTATCCCGAAGTGCGGCAAAAGCTGTACGCTGTGATAAATAAAGGGTAAATTTAACCCTTCGTATTTGTACTGTATCTTCCATACATGCACTAGCATAAAGTTCTGAGTAAACTCCCCATTCCTACTCAGGACTCCAATTACGTTTCCAGAGGCAATTAGAAAAATTTCTAGTCTTGACAAGGTGATGGCGTTCAGAAACCGATTAACTAGAAACATTGCAGCACCATAAAATATGGTTCTTATTCAAGTCCTTGTGCACAATTCAGGTGTTAATACATTAATGTCATAATATTTAGGTGGGATTCAGATCCGCTAAAGGAATGGACTTTAATATATTGGAGATAACTTTCTTGAGGCATATAAATGCCATAATTATACATCGAAAGAAGCCTAGATTGTAACTTGCTCTGATTTTCTTGAGTACCATGAGTCTCTCAGTGGTGAATTTCTTTAAAATATTTACAGGGTGAAGAAGATCTTATGCACGAATTTGAACCAGGTCTTTCGAAAATCGATGAAAATATTGTTATATGAAGCAGGAAAGCTAGAGGTAAAAATTCTCTGTAAATACCATATGCAGTATATTTTTGGAATCTGAACAATAATTTTTGCGGTTTTCTAGAACTTGGCTTTCCAGTGACCGCAGCTTGGTTTGTAGCACTAAGTGATGAACTGGAATTCAGCTTAAGGAAAGGAAAATTTAATACTAGCAAAGATGGAGGATAAAATAATACGAACACCTGTGAAATAATGGAAAATCTTTATTAATACGCTTTTGGACCACACTTTGACTGAAGTACAGATTGAATGCGACGTGGGATAGATGCATAAAGGCCATGGACAATATTTAAAGGAATATTAAGCCATTCCTCCTGAAGAACGGTCTCTAATTCCGAAAGTCCGGATGGAGGTGGAAATCGAGAACGAAGTTCGGACTCCAAATATGCCCATAAATGTTCAATAATATTCAAGTCCAGAGACTGAGAGGGGCCAAGCGACATGTTCAATTGCATCATCATGCTCTTCGAACCATTCTTGAACACACCTAGCAGTGTGGATTGGGGCGTTATCGTCTTAAAAATTGTCGTCCCCAGGGAATACAGTCTGAACAAAAGGATGGACATGATCCCCTAGAATGCTTAGATAGTGAATGGATGGGATACTCCCATGCAGAATAACAAGTGGCCCAAGACCGCGCCAAGATATCGCACCCTATACCATAATGACGCCACCTTCATGCTTCACAGTCAGGATGAAACGCTTCTTTGGGCGTTCTCCAGATATAAACGCGTCCGCTCGTCTGAAATAGGGTGAATGACGATTTATTTGACCATATTACATGTTGCCACTGCTATGGGGACCAGCTTTTGGGATCTCTGTACCATTGGCGTCGCATGAAAGCATTAGTTACTGTCACCAAGGGTTTACGAATTGCCACTCTGACATAAATGTTCGCAGCATGAAGTTCCATTTTGACAGTTTTTGTTGAAACGGGGTTCTGGAGATGACTTTTCATTTCGGATGTTATCTCGGATAACGATTGCTTGTGCTTTCGGGCTACTATGCACTTCAAGACCCGTCTATCCCTATCAGCCAGTTTTGACTTTCGATCACTGTTGTGCTTTGAAGACGTTGTTTTACCCTCTTTCGAGTACGCTGTCATAAAGACTGATATCGTACTCTTGCACATGCGCCACTTAAACATGCTCTAGCTATCATTCCTCTTTGGAACTCTGACAGGTTTGACATTTCAGCTTCTCACAGACAATTCGATGGAAGCATGCAACGTAGGTCACTGCTGTTGAGAAACTGATACCTTTCTCTTCACGCTCACTAGGTGGCAGACTTCTGTTGCAGGTGGTGCGGCTGTACTCCAGGTATGAAATACGTTATACTTTTTCACAGGTTTTCGCATTATTTTGTCCTTACTCTCTACAGCCATCTTAGGAAGAGAGCTCACAATACAGTTTAAGTGCTAGATTTGGCACGCGGTTCAAAGCTCATTTTTACTCTACGCCACTCAAGAAAGTTATTAGATAAAGATATCTCCCTGTCTCTTCTCTTTGCGCCGTCCCACCTTACGCCTCACTCATTTTTTCTCCTTTCGTTCCGTTCGTTGCGCCGATACACGAGTATCAAGTGTGATTTTAGTCTAAAGTATAATTTAATTTAATGCACCTCGTGTGCTATAGGTTATTTTTGATTTTAAGACATATTCTTAGTTTTATTGTGAAAAATTGTATTTTGTTATTTAATTATTGTAACAATCCATACCTACATATTTATTCAAATGCCCACTAAAAAGAAAGCTTGATGGTCACGGTTTTCAAGACTCTTGGAGGGTTGAATATGGAATCTTACAACAAAAGAATCGTGTAGTATGTGTGTTATGTCGCAAAAGCGTCTCATGTTACACGTTAAGTATACGAAGACATTTTCAAACTAAACATCAGTCCCTATTTCAGAATTTCGATGAGAAATTTTATCAAGACTACTATTCCTCCTTATCTGCTTGGCGAACATGAAGTGTCCTGAATGGGAATAGTGAGTTTACTGGAAGCTATGTTCTGTGGAATTGTAAAATAGGTGATTAAGATGCGAAGGGTTTTAACTACCCTTTATTCTCTACGATATTACAGGCGCTCCCGCACTTCAGGATACAAAAACCAACCACTTGTGGTCTGAACGTAAAAATATAAGAACTACTAACTAACTAAATTTAAATAAGAGCTAACTTTGAATACTTTATACAGATGACTAACACTAAGGTTGGCCTTTTAGTTTATTATGTATGTAGAGCGCAAACTGCGGAAAGTTACAATACGTTTTAAATATTGAAAGGACTAAACCTCTGGCCTTAAAGGCAGACAGCAACTGATTGAAAGCTCGCTTGGAACACAGTGGCAAGGAGGCTCACTTTCTCTCCATCTAACTCTGTTCTTGGCGAAAAGCTACAACTTAAATACTTAAGCGTTAGCAAGTACAATTTGCATAAACATATTCACGCGTTTATTCTGGGCGGAAATGGAAAATAAGAGAGGACAGTAAAGTTTTAAATAAAATAACGTTAGTAAAACGTAAGATCCTTACAAATTAAAGTTATAAGAAGAGCTGTTACTGAATATAAGAAGCAAGTTACGTTTTTTGTCAAACAATCTGAACCAAACTTAAAGCTACCGAATATAGTTTCGTAATTGCTCAATGTGTAGCTGGCCCAGAGACAAATCTTAAAGGACATATTTTTAAAATACATTGAAATACAGTTGGGAGATTTTCCAAATCTACAAACAATATCATCCCGAATTCAAGAAATACTGGCTTCTGCGTGAACTATTGAAAGATGAATAACTCAAATGGCAGAAAATTTAACAAAGCAGAATTCTGGATTACAAGAAACTGTTGCATTTAGAGTTGCTCTTGATGAAAGCACCAAAGCTGCACTCCTTGTTATGTTATTATGTTATTTATTTTTTATTTTAATAAATATGTTTAAAAAGGTACATAACACATAATATATGTACAATTTTTTTTATTTTAATGAATATGATTAAAGGGTACTTAATACATATGTGCAATTTAATTTCTTTACTTTTATTGAGAGAATAATTATATTTATGTTGTCTATTTTTGTGTTAATAAATAAATATCTTTCAATGACGCATATTTAATATATAAAAACTCTAAATCTCTTTCTTCGCCCTTGTTCCCTAAATCTGCATGCATTGTCGCGGGAATAGAATTGTTTCAAATATTTCGTACTATGCAGAATCCTGAATCATATTGGTAGATTGGTTTAGCCCACCACAGCTACGAGATTGCCGACCGCTGGTCTAGGGTTCCCAAAGGGGTCGATATTCACCCGCGGGTTCGATGAAATTTCGCAGCTGCGCCATTCAAGGGATCGACAGCCGAATATTCATCTGTAACTAACTATGAATCTGTAATCTGTTGATTACAAAAATAATAACAATATTAAT